GAGAGGCAAAACTGTAAGTAGGCCTTATTTTCGGAGGATGTCTTATTTTCGGGGAAACAGGGTAGCTGTTTGGCACACACAGTAAATGTATGTCTTATGACATGTTTGTTCTGACATCAGGTATACTTTTATTATGTGCTGCGGATCTGTGTCTGACACGAAGCGACCAGGCTGCACTCTGATCTCTGGGACACGGGTGTAAATCTGAAATGATTCCATTGACTTCAGTCGTGTCACTGAGATTAGTATCTTGCCTGACCATGGCCTGTCACATCAGTGACAGTTTGTTAACAGGCGGAATGGAGGGGATAAGTGCTCTGTGGCTTCTAATGGGGCTGTCACTACTTCCAGACTGGCAAATTTCTGCTCTTGTTTTGTATTTTAAGTCCAATTAACAGACTGTTTTGCAAAGCTGCAAAATGCATCACAGATTCCTTCCCACTCATCTGAAATGTTAGCCATTAATACAATCAATTTGCAGGAGGCTCCGTTTAAACATGTAAACAGTCGATGCATTTTGCAAAATGTTTGGGACTCACATTATCAAGAGGTGATAAATAATTCAGATTTTTTTTTAAAGTGTTATCAATAGATTCTTCCTTCCGCCACTTTTAATGCAAAGCTTCAGTGGGAATGTTCTCAGCATGTGTAGCCAATCATTGTTTTTACATTCCTACACTGGATATGGAAGGAAGTGAATAATAATATAGGCTGGTAAGAAAAAACGTGTCTTTCATTCATAAGTGCTCTCCCCGCGATTTCGTCTCCCCATCATCATGATGCATCTAATAAACCCTCCCAGAAAACATTGTGAGTAAAACTAGGAAAACTAATATGAAGGGAATCAGGAAATGATCCAAAAGCCCTTTTTCCACTAAAGGTTTATCTACAGGGAGACACTCAGGAAAGTTAAAGTGGATTAGTTAAACCTCACTAAACCCAGGTGGACACTCTTATTCAAAATTAAAGTGGCCTTAATTCAGTTTACTTTACTTCCAGAGTGAATTAAGATCATCTAAATTGAACAAAGCCAGTTTAATTCTGAATACAAAATGTCCACACTGGAGTTTAATGTGGTTTAACTAATCCACTTTAAATTCACCCCTTTCCTTAATTTGGATTAATTATCCTGAGTGTCCCTGTGTAGACAAGCCCTAAAGGTGACCTGCAAAGAGAAAAAAAAAAGTTTGCGTTTATGCACATGAGAAACAAATATCATCTTGCCTCTAAGTGAGCATCAAGTCAATCATTTCCAGAAGCGTAACTAGCTCAGTTCAGCATCCAATACCATGGTGATGAGTAAGACCCTACCAAATTCACGGCCCATTTTGTTCAATTTCATGGTCATCGGATTTTTAAAATCGTAAATTTCATGATTAAATCTGAAATTTCACAGTGTTGTAATTGTAGGGGTCCTGACCCAAAAAGGAGTTGTGGGAGGGTCGTAAGGTTATTGTAGGGGGGTCACGGTACTGCTACCCTTACTTCTGCGCTGCTGCTGACAGCGGCGCTGCCTTTAGAGCTGGGTGCCCGGCTAACAGCCGTTGCCTTCTGGCTGCCCAGCTATGAAGTCAACACAGAAGTAATGGTGGCAAAACTGGGCCCCCGCTAAAGTAACTTTGTGACCCTCCCCCAACTCCCTTTTGGGTCTGGACCACCAATTTGAGAAACACTGATCTCCCCCATGAAATCTGTATAGTATAGGGTAAAAGCACACATAAGACCAGATTTCACGGGGGGAGACCAGACTTCATGGTCTGTGACGCATTTTCATGGCCATGAATTTGGTAGGGCCCTAGTGATGAGTCATCAGCAAGGGACTGGCCCTTGGCCCTTCAGCACAGGCCTCCGCCAC